TGCTGATTGATTTGAAATATTTGTAGATTTTGGAGAATCTTGACTGGGAATGTGTACAGTGGTCACAAACATGTGTGTGGATAGCTGGGAAAGAGTACCCTCTTGCTCGGGTGCATTTCCTTTCTCCGAATTAGTTAGTTTTAAAATAAAAAAATTAGCTATTTTTTTCTGTCATTTCATATTTGTACTAGTTTTTTTTAACTAATGAGCTGATTATGTGTTTAATTGAATGATAATTAATTTTTTAATATTCAATCTAGATGCTGTATGTTGATAGATCCTAATATTGACGGAGTCAACTTCGTGATTAAATGAATGTCTTCAATCTTGATTGAAACTTTAGACGTAGTGTCATCATTTCAGTAAATAAAGTAATATCCCCAACTGATAAATGTGCTGAGGTTGAAATTTGAAACTTAATCATACCCTTGATGTTAGGGGAGGGGTTAGTTCATGAAGATAAGAGGTTCTATCATTCCTTGGATGCGTATAGGTTCCTTCAAAGTATTTTTGTAAGTGACTTGAGCAAGTGGATGTTTCTGTGTCCCATTGGGGAAAGAGTCTAGAATTTGAAGTCTTCATGACTACATGAAAAAGATGCCTACACTTGTAACAAAACTTACCACTACATGCTTGTGTAGTTCTGTTGTACATATAATCAGTGCAGAACTGCAGATGGTTGTTCTATCTTGGTTTTTGCTACAACTTTGCAACTCCAAAGACAATGAACAAACATGGTACCACATTGAAAGCAGTAAAAGCAGGAGAAAAAAATTGTGCATAAACCAAGAGGTTGAGTTTGGTGGAAAAGCCATTTTTGCGCTTGGGGCAATGATGCAGCTAGTGAGGTTATACCGTGTCAATTGCTGGTTGAAAACTATTTCCAAACCCCCTCAGCCTGAGTTCTGCTTGGGCTGTTGAGAATTTCTGGAAAGGGTCCCGCTAAACAAGGGTAAATCCTTACAAATAATACACTCCAAACATTGAACTGATCAAGTGCTGTTGCACTAACTGGAACTTTGTAATTCACATGTTTACAGATTCATGCATTAACCTGGAAGACCCTTAACAAAATTCACATAAATGAATCATGGCAGTTGCAGTGATTGAACGAACGTATGTTAAGAGTCGGTCTGTGATTATCTGCCTGAATTGTACCTCTATTGTCTTTGGGACATCGGGTTGCCTCTTTTGTCCCTAGTCTCACTGTTAGATTCATGAGTTGTTCTACTACATCAATTGGCAAGAGGAGTTTCTAAGATGCTTAAGTTCTTTCTTTAACATTACTGCATTGAAATACAACAATCGCAAAGCTAGTGCTGAAGTAGATGTTGGCTGCATACTGCATATGGAAGTAGCAAAACCTGCATTCAATTAATCAAGTTGGTTATACTATTGAATTTAAGGCTACTACAACTGGAACTGAAACCTGCTACAATATGAGAGAACATGCACTTAACAATGAAAAAAAAAAGCACTGGAACCAGTTTTTCAAGTGTGATCCAGTGCAAAAGCATACCAATGGAAACAAAAAGTTTTGATAATGCCAACAGTCACCATAGGTAGGTTGAAAGAAAACCAAGCTTCCATATTGGAATTGGAGAAAATAATAAGCTATAAACAGAACATCAGATCAAGAGTATTATTACCAGAAGATAATGAAAAAATTATTGTCTAAGAATAATCTTAGTACTTAAAACTTACAGAACATAATTTAAGTAAAAACAACCAACTCTGAAATGTATTCTTGGATCTGCTTGAATGTTGAACTGTGTGGTAGGACGTCGCGATCACAATGTTCTTTCATGGTTTCTTTCTAGTACCATGATGTTAGATATGTATTCTCACCTAATGATCCTTGCATAGACTAGATGGTTTGCGTTCCTATATTCCATTTTCGAAAATTATCTTGAAGGCATTCAATGTAAAAGACTCAATGCAGAGTTTGAAACTTCGAATATTAAAACATGGATAAGAGGAAAGGAACGTTTCAATTTTCAAATGCCGAAACTGTTTAAATCTAAATCTTACAGTCAATATATCTCAACTGTGAACAGATCTGCTCCCATAGCATTGCCTCCAAGCCTCAAAGTAGTATATTGCAAATGAATTACCCAGCTGCGGATTTCTTCTTCAAAGAAGCAGCCAACTTTCAGGACAGTTTCATTCTTCCTTCGGTGGTCAACAATTACGCATTAAGTGGTGAATTTTTGTGAGGCAGAGAATAATATAACGGCAAGGGAGATTTGCAGAACAAGGCACTAACTAAACAACAGTATGGATGACAAAACATATAAAGAAATTAAAATGTCTAGTTGTTACATGGATTGCTAAGAAAATAAGTTTCTTTTTACCAGACATTTCTTAAAATTTTGAAATCTGGAATGTGGGCAATCTTATGCCAGTCCTCCCCCCTTCCCTTCTCGCAACGCCTACGTAATTCAGGATGGCAGTCATTAATCCATAGAGTTTGAAGGTTTGTGAGAAGTTGCAGTCCATCTGGCAAGCTTCTCATGTTTTCGCAATAAGAAATGCTTAGACACCTAAGCTCTTTGAGACTCTTCATCCAATTCGGGAGTGAAGTGAGTTTTGCAAACTCTGAGATTTGCAAATATAAAAGTGTAGAATGGTGTTGTAGGCCATCCGGCAGTTCTGGGAGGTTCTCAATTGTTAGGTGTCGAAGTGATATGAGGTGCTGAAACTCCACGGTTGACACTCTGAGATTTGGACATCGAGAAATATGTAAAGACTGCAAGGTTGTTAAATATCTCAACCCCTCTGCCAACTCTGTCAGATCCAAACATTGTTCAATTGTCAGATGAGTGAGCGAGCTTCTTCCAACATCCATCAGATTCTTGAGCCTATTGCACCTGAAAATAGAAAACACTTGTAGGGACGAGAGACTTCTTAGTTCTGCTGGCAAGGAAACCAGATCCGTACAAGTGAAGATTCCCAATCTTGTCAGTTCACTGAGATCTCCCACTTCCTCTGGCAGAGTCTTAAGCTTACCGCAATTCCAGATAGACAAAGATTGAAGAGCAGGGAGGTTTTGCAGCATTCCCTCTGGAAAACAAACTAGCTCTCCAAAACCACTTATGTTAAGAGAAGAAAGATACCGTAGGTCTTTCAGTGAGCGCAGTACCATTTCATTGCAATATTCAACATCTAACCTTTTGAGGGATGCTGACAATGGGAGTCTTTCCAATTTGGGGCATCTCCTAATAACTAGTTTCTTAAGAGAATGGAACTGAAGAAGTTGATGTTCCTGTCCATTATTCCCAACTGCCGAATAACACTCTTCCAAGTCAGGCAGGTCATCTAATTCAAGGTTTTCTAGTGATTGGAATCCATTGACCATGTCATCAATACTGAATATTTTCAACGAATGCATTGCATGCAATCGAAGAGTCTTGAGCAGAGGCAGTCTGGCAAGTGAATTTGAAGGGAGCTGCTCACATCTTGTACATCTATCCAGGAAGACTTCAACCAAATTCGGGAGCATGGAAAACTCTAACCAACTTGGAAGAGTTATTCCTTGATAACCTTTTATCGATAACCTCTTGATATTAGAGTGAGGTTGGAGTCCTTCAATTACATCTTTATCATTTTTCTCTTCCATGCGAGAATCAGACCAATCTAGACTCAGTGTTCGAAGGTTTTTCTTTCCCATCAACATGGCTTCTTTGGCATCTTTTGAAGATGTCACATGTTCAAGCCCTTTTACAGTTAGTTCTCCACCTAAGTTATCCAGTCCTTGCAATTCTTTGATGTGTCGTCTACTATCTGGCCCTACAATGAAGATGCTCAATGTCTGCAGGCAAGTCAGTTCGCCCATTCTGATTGGCATTTCACGTAGCCTGTAACATTTTTTGATATCGAGGTGTCTCAAGTTGATCATTGTACTCATTTCCCTAGGTAACGTTTGAAGTTCAGAGCAGTTCATTAACTTCAAAGTTTGTAACGTTCTCAACCTGCATATGGATTCTGGCAATGATGTAAGTTCATCACATGAGAGTTTGAGATACCTGAGATGCCTTAAACTGCCAATTGAATCTGGTAGTGTTGTGACTCTGATATCTTCCAAACTCATAGCGCGCAACGATTTAAAAGCTGAGAAGTTTAAATGAGTGGGGAGCCGCCTTCCTTGCCATGAATCAACTGTGGGCATGTCAATCAACGAAATAAGTGTTCGCAGGTTTGGCTTGGATTGATGTATGGACTGAAATATGGATGAGGATGGAGTTGTCTTGAAACTCATTGACAAATGCCGACTTCCCTCAGGAACATTTATTATTTCGCCATCTGCAACCACATTACAACATTCATTCATGGTAATAGAGCACGCGAGATCATGTACAAGGTCATGCATCATAAAACTTTCGATGTTACCATCCTCATCTATCTTCACATCTTGAAAAAATGATCTCCACAATAATGCATTGAAAATCTCATTTCCAATATCTTCCAACTGCCGGTTTTCTTTACAATGAAACAAACCATTTGCAATCCACAAATCAATTACTTCCTCTCTTCGCATGTTATAACCTTTTGGATATATAGAACAGTAGGCAAAACATTGCCTGACATGTACATTCAAATGAGTATAGCTCAACCTTAAGGCACGCAAAATGGTGTTTTCATTGCTTTGCGGTAAATCCCAAATTCTGTTGTCTCTAATAAACAACCAGTCCTTCTCCTCAACTGAAAAACGAAGTAAGCCTCCCAAAACTTTTGCAGCCAATGGCACACCTCCACACTTTCTTACAATGTCCTTGCCGATCTTCTCCAAGAATAAATTCTCTTCATTCCCAATTCCAAATGCGCGTTGCTTGAACAAACACCAACAATCATCTTCTGACAGACTTTTCAATGAATAAGGGGGACATGTACCTGTGATCGATGCTACTGTTTTGAGACGAGTAGTTACAATAACAGAACTTCCTTTGGCACCACAACGAAATGAATATTTAAATTTGTTCCACTCCTCCTGATTTTCATTCCAAACATCATCTAAAACAAGTAAGAATCGCTTTCCATCGAGCTTTTCCTGAAGAAAACGCTGCAAAGGATCCAAGTCTTCAATAGTACAATCACCCGAAATTGAAACTACAACAGCTCTTATAAGCCTTTTTACATCAAAATCTTCTGATACACTAACCCAAATTCTAACTTCATAATACTTAGCAACCCTGTCATCATTATAAACCGATTGTGCGACAGTAGTCTTTCCAATGCCACCAATACCAAGTATTGGATAGATTGAAAGATTCTCTTGAGTGTCTGAATTTTTTACCAATAAACTCACAATGTATTCTTTCTCTTCACTTCTTCCATAAATTTGTGGTTCTGTAAACATAGAGCTTGTTTCTCGGCTTTTATAGTACTCAAGTTTTCTTTCTACACATCCCTCTCTCAAATGAAACCTCACCCTTTCAGAAGCAATGACATCAAACCTCTGCCTAAGTTCATTTATACTCTTTGCAATCTTATGACGAAACTGAACATGTTCAAATAATCGAAAACAAGATAATAAAGAGTCAAATACCTGGTTGGTACAAGTCCTATGACTAGTTGCTGACACTAATGGTAGCATGGCTTCAGTTGTCCATTCATCCAAAACATCATCTGCATCATAAGCTGCATCCTTGAGTTTTATTAGCCAAGTCGTGATTGTCTTATTCGTTAATTGTTGCTCTTCTGCATCTTCAAGAACATTGCGAATTGTCAACAACGTTGCAGAAAGCTTCTTGATCTCTCTGTCCAGACCATATAGCGCGGCAAGTTCATTCTGGATTAAAGAGCTGAGATTGTCAAATAGTACTCCAAGAAAAGGAGAAACTACAACTTGAATAGCTATGTCTGCCATTGCTTCTAAAGATTAACAAAACAAGAAATTCAAAGTGAAAAAATTGTAGTATGGAGATTTCAGATTTGAAGTAAAAATGAAAAATAGTTGACTT